AAGTTTAAATGTTGAGTACTAACCATTTTTTTTCCTTTTATTGCTGTCATAAATAAGGTTAAATTGTTTTTTATTAAGCAGCAATTCAAAAGTAATCAAWTCCATTATGAACTTTCAATTTCAAAAAACAAGCAAATCAGAAATTCAGAACTTTAAGCATGACAAAGYAGATCTACTTTGTCATGAACTAAAGTAATTAAATTAATTTCAAAAATTYAAAATTATGTTATCAGTTGAATTATTGATAAAAACCAGAAGAGATATGACTATAATCGGAACGTTTGAAACCCGGAGTGTTCTCTTTGAACATCCAAATTTGTTTACGTTTCGATGTGTACCGGTTTTATTTTGATACGTATCGCTACGAAAAACCGATACGTAACGATATGGTCTTCTTGAAAATCTTGAATATCGTTAATTTTAAGCGCACCAAAAAATTAGTTTCGTTGAGTAACCTGTATATTATCTTAAATCGTGATTTTGTCTCACAGAGATAAATAATAAATTATTATTATCTATATCTGTGTTTTGTTATGCATTATTTTAATCACGAATCTTGGTTCATGTTTTCAATTTTCACTATTTTTCAGTCTTCATGACTATATGCGCATTATGGCTACCTATATATTTTTATAATATTTAATCATGAATAAAACGATTGTAGAACAAAACAAAACGCAAAAATTAAAATGACTGAATCAGTTGACAAATCAAAAAGAAAACAATTTGGTAATAGGTTTTTAAATAAAGATGATGACGTTTTTAAACACAATGCTTGGTAAGAATAATTTTAAATTTTACCGAAACCACTGACTAAAAGTTTTAATATTAACATATAAATTAATTTTTATCCACAATTACTTTGAAATACTATTTTCAAATCATGTTAGGACATAACTAACATAAATCACTAAATAATAATCTATAACATGATGTGTAGGGATAATGTGGAATGGAATGAAGAACAAGAAATTCAAGCTCTGTCACAAGTATGTGCGCATGTAAAAACAAAGATGCCTTCAGAAAAAGCTGCTGATTTAGAAGACAATGCTGATGAATATTGGAATAAGTTTTATTCTGTCCACCAAGAAAAGTATGTCACATTAATATAAATATTACTATCCTACTGAT